GGGATGCTCGATTGTGGCCACTCCCGGTGGGCCAGTGCCCTTTCCGTGTTCCTCGGCTTCGGCATCCACGTGGCCATGGGCGCCTGGGCGCTCACTCACCACGCCTGCTACGGTGACCCCGTGCTTGCACGGCGCGCGTCCCGAGGCAGGCCTGGCAGGAGACGCCCCATGGAGAGCCAGCACGGCATCTTCGGGTTCTCTGATCGGTTGCCTGGTACTTTTTATTTTTCGAATTCTTCGGTTTCGGCATCCACGTGGGCATGGGCGTCTGGGCGCTCACTCACCACGCATGCCGCGGCGACCCCGTGCCTGCGCGGCGCGCGTCCCGGAGCAGGCCTGGCAGAAGACGCCCCATGGAGAGCCAGCGCGACATCTACGTGTACTCAGGTCGGTTCGACTGGATCGGTTACGGCCTCTGCGTGTTCTCGGGTTGGGTCGACGCGTCCGATTGCGGCGACTCCTTTGTCGTCGGTGGCAAGGGTTTTACTTTTTGGACCTGATCCTGTGGGTCGGGTTTCCACCGCCCCAGCGGCGCGCACGGATCCACCGTGCCTTGCGGGCGCTGCAGGGGGTGAAGTACCGACCGTTGCGGCGCGCACGGATCCCCCTGCCGGCCTAGCGGGCACCGAGGTTGGTGAAGGACCGACCGCTGGAGACGACGCGGGTTGTCTGGTAGAAGCTGTTGGCCCAGTCCTTGCTGGCGAGGCACGTCCCCCGAAGAAGAAGTCCAAGCCGAATGGTGATTTGGTGGCTTGGACCGCCAACACGACGGCCTGGAAGTCCGCCCTCGCGCATGTGCGCCAGCGGGCAGAGCGCCGTCGGACTCGGAATCTTGCAGATCGGCCTGTGCAGCTGCTGTACCTGCAGGAGCTCGGAGTGCACCCTGATGATCGGGCACAGCGCGAGAAGCAGCTGAGGGACCAGAGGTTTTTTGTAGCAGTGCAGGCTAGCCGAGTCCCCGAGCTTGACGGCCTGTCAGGTGGCGTCGCCGTGGGAGTGCCGCAGCATGTCGGCATGGGCGAAGGTCCGTTGCCCAAGCAACCTCTCCCATCCCCTCATCGTCTCATCGTCAAGCGGGTCAATGCCCTGGTCCCAGGGGGCTTCTGGCCGGCCTCAGTCTACCTGCCTACTGAGGCTCCCTTCGGGCCCGAAGGGGCCCACCTACATGTGCGCGTGGGCGAGCTGTTCCACACTATTCGGAGACCCTCTACCGTCGGGGGCGATTGGAATTCGACCCCTTCGGAGCTGGCGGCCATGGGGTGGCCGAGTCGGGTACGGGCTCGGATTATTGCGCCGCGGGAAATCACCTGTCGATCGGGCAAGGGGCGGGTCCTGGACCACTTCGTCGTCTCGGATGTCCTTATGCCATCCGTCAAGGGGTGCTCTGTGGCGGTCAACTCCTTCCTGGCCCCGCATAGGCCTGTGGGCCTCCGTCCTGCTGCCCGTGCTGTGCCGACTTCAACTTTGGTGCATGCTGGCCCTCGCAAGTTTCTGCAAGATCCCTATGGGCCCCTATCCTGTCCCGCCAGACTGGTCTGACGTCTTGGAGGCCCTCGAGCAGCGGGGGGACCAGCGCAGCTTGAACCAGTCCTTTGGGAAGTTCGCCGGGCTCTTGGAGGACGAGCTTATCGGGGCCCACGGGATCCCAGAGAAGCTGCAGGATAGGTTCCGAGGAAGGGGCTTAGGCTGGATATATAACAACCCCTGGCTTCGCTCCGACGACAGGGCCGTGCCCCGTTGCTAGTCAGGAGGCGTTGGGATGGAGGCGATTGGCCAATTGGCTCCGCGAGCTTGGCCACATCCAGTCTCAGGATGCGTGTAAAAGGCCTTCCGCGTTCACAGCCCTTCTCGCTAAGATCAGCACGGGGCCAAAGGCGGTCAGAGACGCTCCAGCCTGGGTCGCATTTTTCTCGTTCTGCCTCAGATTGGAGCTGCATGTCATCCGCAGGCCTCGCCGGCTCTGCCAACCTCGCAAGGAGGCAGGCTGCCAGTTGCGAGAAGGTGTTCACCAGGCGGCGTTCGGCCGAGCGGCGCCTGCACGTGAAGGATGCAGTCGCCAATGGCGGCGGCAAGGCTCACAGGTTCACCCGCCTCCCTGTGGGCTGGCTGCCCATCCAGGCCAAGCGTGGCGAGCCCCCCCCCACCCAGGCCCTGAGGAGGAGCTGGAGCGTGTTCTCAAGGATTGGGAGGAGGTCTGGACTTGCCCCGAGGCCGACGAGGATCCCGAGGAATGCATGCGTGAGCTGTCGTCCTTCCTGGAATCCCAGCAGTGCCCTGTGACCCAACATGAGCCTGGTTTCATTCGTAAGGTTGCGCGGAAGATTAAGGGTTGGACGTCGCAAGGTGTCGACCGTCTAGGCACCAGGGACTTCTGCGTGGCGTCGGATAAGTGTCTCCAGGCCCCCAACTTGCTCTGGAACTGGATGCTTGCCCTGGGAGCGTTGCCCGCGCAGATCAGCCTCACCCTCATGCCCTCCCTCCCGAAGCCAGAAGGGGACGCGCGGCTCCTTGGGCTGCTCAGCATGGTGGTGAGGATTTGGGCCCGTTGCTCCAGGGAGGTCGTTCGCCAGTGGGAAGTTGAACATTTTCGGAGTTATACCTACGGGGCCAGGGGCAAGTCGTGTGAGAGGGCCGCCTGGGAGCAGTCCTTCTCCAACGAGAATGCTGCGTTAACGGGGAGATTTGCTGCAAACTCGTTTCTGGATCTGGTTAAGGCCTACGAGAAGGTCCAACACAAGGACCTGATTTGCGCGGCTAAGAAGCATGGGTTCCCGCTTTTTCACATGCGGCGCTGTCTGAAAGTACACCGTGCGCCTCGGGGCCTTTTGCTTGGCAAGCGAGTCTCGCGCCCTGTTAGAATCCTGTCCACTGTCATCGCAGGCTGCGGCTTCGCCACCACCCTTCTCCAGGTGATGCTGTTAGACGTTCTCGGCTTTTGCGCCAAGTGGTTTCCGTGTGCCCGTCTGTATAACGTGGTGGATGGCATCGCGGCCCAGACGATCGGCACTGCCCAACTGGTGGTCAAGGAAGGTTTGGCGGTCACCCTCACGCTGTGTCGCATGCTCGAAGCGCGTAGGCTCATCATCTCCACGACCAAGGGCCGCGCGACGGCCACCACGTCGGACATCGCCGACAAGATAGTTGCGGGTTTGATCTCCGACAGGCTCCTCTCGAGGCTTCGTTGCGCTGTAGCCCAAGGCCTCTTCGGACCAGCTAGAGGCCGCTCTCGAAATATTCAGTACTGGCTTTCGCCTGCGCCCGGAGCTGACCCTGCCTTTGTGGGCAACTCCCTGCCGCTCCTCGCATGGGGGAAAGCTTTTTGACAAGGATGGGCGTCCAAGGAGGCGATGCGTTCCACTTTCGAGCTGCTTTTGGAGAGTTTCCGCGCGAATGAATTCACCTGGTCTGCGGTGAAAGGCCCAACGGGTGCTGTGATCATGACGCTTCGGAGGCTTGGGTGGGCTCCCCAGAGCTTCAGTGTCTGGTCTCTCCCTTCGGGCTTGTCTTTGGACCTCGAGAAGGTCCGAAAGATTTCCCTGCAGACTTTCGTTGATCTCGGCACTAAAGACCAGCTGTCTGGGCAGCTGAGGTGGAGAGCGGAGGAAGAGGATCCCTGTCTCTCCCGCTGCCTCCTCCCTGCCCCCATCCGGTTTACCCCTCGCCTCCAGATCACAGGTGCCTGGAGGTGGGAGGTTCGCCCACCAGGAGGCGTTCTTCAAGGCCAAGGGTGCTCCGATGGCCCAGCTCTCTTCCCTGACCTCCTTCTCTTCACGGTTGCTGCCTGGGCGGTCGTGATGCTCGATGGAGGGGGAAATGTTCTAGGCCTGGCCAGCGGACCACTCCCGCACGCTCTGCACTCTATTTATGGCGCCGATGTGTTTGCCATTCTTATGGCTCTCCGTCTCTCGGGCCCAGGCGAGGTTGAGCTTGGTTGTGACTGTCAGTCGGCTGTTCAGACCTGGGACCGAGGGGCGGCAGCGGATGTCGCCAATTTGCCTTTTGCTGAGTTCTGGGAAGAAATCAATTTTAGGAAACGTCGTTTCGTGTTTTCCATGTCCCCGCCCAAAGGTCCTGGCCAAAGGTTTTCTCCATGGGAGTGTCCTTCTGGGCTTGGAAAGGGAATCGAGTTGCTGACCAGGCAGCTCGGAGGGCCGCCAGTGACATTCCCACCCCAGTGGCCCTCCGCGACCAGTTTGTTGAGCAGAGGAAGCGCCTGCAGGTGTTAGGTCGCTTCACTGGTGCCATGCTCGAGGTTGCAGGGATGCCCAAGTTTCGTGATGTCTCTAAGGTCGTTGCTAAGAAGCCCCGACCCCCAGGGACCCAGCTCATCCTCTGCCCCGACCCCAACGGGCATGTCTTGGGACGGTGGGGGAAAGGCTGGCTGTGTGCGATCTGCCTTGACCGAGGCCGTAGTTGGACCCACCTGGCCAGCTATAAGTGTTCAGGCCTACCCAGGATTTGCCGCCAGGCACATCGCTCGCATCGTTTGTGGGGCGGTGATCCTGGCGCGACGCTTCCCATCATTTGGTGCTCCAGGTGTGGCAGTTATGCCAGACACCGAATGAATCTTCTGGCCGATGTTTGTTTTGGGAGGCCCCGAAATGACGCTACAGGTAAGTCTCTGGAGATGCTGCGGCAGGGCGTTGACCCTACCACGCGCGCGTGCTTCGGCCGCAGCGTCCCTCTTTGGACCGAGAGAGGTGCAGGCCGCCATGCGGCGGCCGTGCCCACCCCCTCGGCTGAGACTTCAAGTCAGGAGGGGCCCCCGCAGGAGCCTTACGGGGGCGTTGGCTCCCCTGCCAGGGCCACCACTGAAGGATGACTTCGGGTCCCTTCAGTGGCGGCCCAGGCGGGGGAGGGCAGCGCCTCGGTCTGGGTCCTTTCTCTCTTTCCCCCTACACTCCTTCCTTTCTGGCCTAGGTTCTGCGCCGCCTTGGCACCGCGGATCCTCGGCTGTTGGTGAAACTGGTGAAACAGGAGGGGGAGGAGGAGGAGGAGGAGGAGGAGGAGGAGGAGGAGGAGGGGGAGGAGGAGGGGATGGGGAGGACGATGAGGAGGAGAAGGAAAAGGAGGAGGAGGAAGAGGAGGGGGTCAGTACATCATGGCCCGCGGCATGTGCGCGGGCCTGGCCAAGGCCATAGTATCCTGCCTCTGGTCCTTTTCCCGAGTCTGGTGGCGCTGTTTTTTCGCCAAGTTCCCCCCCCGCAAAAATTTTGACGAAGGCAGGATACGGACAAGTTCGGATGAGCATGGGTGGATCATCTCTGAGAGAGCTAGCGGGACTGGCCTGGATGATGTATCGGGCGCCGCGACCTTTCCAGACTTCCTGGGCGTTCTGGAAAGATTTGTCCTCACCCTAGGCCTGGAAAAGATCTCTGCATGACCGGCTCTTCATCCTGAGTCGTTGTTTACGGTCCTTAGGACGGGGAGCAAATTCCCAAAACTGCGAATTGCCAAGAAACCAGCCGTCGCGTTTCGCCCAAGTCTGGTGAGAACGACGACGGAAGACATCGAGATGGCGCCACAACAAAACCAATCCTCCCCGATAGCTGGGGGTCGCATGCTTTCTTCGCCCGCCCCCCGCGGCCGCCCGTCTTGCATGCTGGACCATTCGTTTTTAGGTGCCCCCGTCTAGCCTTTTCGCTGCAGCCAACTCTCCCTCGCCGCCGACGACAATTTTCTTCGCCCGGTCTTTCTGCCTGGCTGCGGTGCCCTGGGAACCCCGCGGATCGGTACATCCCGGGAGGTGCTGCGGCTAGAGGGGGTGGGTGGAGGACTCCAGCCGTGCTTTTTCCGGCTGCCGACTTGTCCCCGGCTGGACTCCTTGCCCGGCCAGTGGGACCGCGTCGCCTGCCGCAGCCTCCCACGATGGTGAATCTTGCTGTGAAGAATATTTTGAGACAGTTTCGTCGATCTCTGAAGATCCAGAGCTGCGGGTTCCAGGGGACCTGCGGGGTAAGATCTTTCCGCGGGGCACCTGCTGGCAAGCGGGTGTCTGACTTGATGCGCTTGCTGCACTTCCGTACCGCCCACAACACGAATGCTTTGGTGCGGTATCCCTCCCGTGAGCCTGCTGTGGGCTTCGTGCCCGGTCACGTGCGGACTACATCGCGTGCCTAGAACAATTGGCTGCCCAGAAACACGCTCCAAACCTGCCCGCTCGCGGGTGTTGTTGCCGAGAATCTCACACAGAACGTGCCCGCTAGCTTGCGGATCACATCGCGCTGCCAGCGTCGATGCCAAGAAGCTTGCCAGGAGGTTCAGCGCAGGCGTGCCCGATCGCAGGCGACAGCCTTCAACTTAGCAGTTGGGCTGCCAGGATGAGGGCCAGGAAACTCACCCCAAGCGTGCCCGCGCGCTTGTGGCGCACATCGCGTGGCCACCGTTATTGCCGATGAGGAGGAGGAGGAGGAGGAGGAGGAGGAGGAGGAGGAGGAGGAGGAGGAGGAGGAGGAGGAGGAGGAGGAGAGGGAGGAAAATAATAGGGAGGAGGAGGAGGAGGAAAAGGAGGAGCAGAGGGAGGAGGAGGAGGAGGAGAAGCCCTGTTGGAATACAAAGGCGTGAAAATCCGAAACTTCACCAGAACCCCGTTCCTGGGACTTCAACGCCGCGAATCACCGATACTACTGCGCCTTGGCGATTCTGACTCGTTGCAGAACACCATTCCTGGGACTTCAACACCGCGAGTCAACGGAACTATTGAGCCTTGATGCTCCGACATCGTACCAAAACGCCATCTCTGGGACTTAACAATGGGAATAGTTGCAACCATTGTAAACGCATGAAACGGATGTGCGCGGTGCTAAAGCGAGAGCCACACGTTGAAAATGGAACTCCCTGAGTTCTGCGCACACTCGATTCAAAACATGCAACAGTTTTCAGGATGGGGGGCGGTCCGTTTTCAAAAGGTGGTTCTCGCCTCAACGCGGCGGATTCTCGTTTTGAACATCTGCGAGAGCGTCACGGATGGAGCACTGCTGCTTTTCAAAAGGTGGCTCTCGCTTGAGTGTCGCGCGTCCTCCCTTCATGATTTTGAGAGAGCTTCACGGATGGAGAGCGGGCCGTTCTCGAAAAGTGGCTCTCGCCTTACTCGCACTCACATTCGTCCTAAACAGGTGCAAGAGCTTCGCGGAAGGAGGGCTGCTGTTTTCCAAAATGCGGCCCTCGCCCTCGCGCCAAGCACATTCTTCTTCTTCGTATCATTATTCCCAACCCTCCAGCGTTGGGTTCTCGTTTTGAATCGAGCACTGCTCGCGCGTCTCCTTCCTTCCCGCCCCCCCCCGTCCCTCTCTTCCCCCCTGCCTTTGACCTCGCCATCCCTGGGGGGCCGCGATCTGTGAAACTGTCGCCACTTTCCAGGCCTGCTGGGGGGCCCAGCACAGTGGGTACACACGGCGGATTGAAATTGGACCTCGCCATCCCTGGGGGGCTGCGATCTGTGAAACTGTCGCCACTTTCGAGGCCTGCTGAGGGGCCCAACACAGTGGGTACTCACCGCGGATTCAAATTAGACCTCGCCATCCCTGGGGGGCTGCGATCTGTGAAACTGTCGCCACTTTCGAGGCCTGCTGGGGGGCCCAGCACAGTGGGTACACACCGCGGACTCAAATTAGACCTCGCCATCCCTGGGGGGCTGCGATCTGTGAAACTGTCGCCACTTTCGAGGCCTGCTGGGGGGCCCAGCACAGTGGGTACCCACACGCAGATTCAAATTAGACCTCGCCATCCCTGGGGGGCTGCGATCTGTGAAACTGTCGCCACTTTCGAGGCCTGCTGGGGGGCCCAGCACAGTGGGTACCCACGGCGGACTCAAATGTGACCTCGCCATCCCTGGGGGGCTGCGATCTGTGAAACTGTCGCCACTTTCGAGGCCTGCTGGGGGGCCCGGCACAGTGGGTACCCACGGCGGACTCAAATGGAACCTCGCCATCCCTGGGGGGCTGCGATCTGTGAGACTGTCGCCACTTTCGAGGCCTGCTGGGGGGCCCAGCACATCAGGTACTCACCGCGGATTCAAATTAGACCTCGCCATCCCTGGGGAGCTGCGATCTGTGAGACTATCGCCACTTTCGAGGCCTGCTGGGGGGCCCAGCACAGTGGGTACCCACCACGGACTCAAATGGGACCTCAAATTAGACCTCGCCATCCCTGGGGTGGCTGCGATCTGTGAAACTATCGCCACTTTCGAGGCCTGCTTGGGGGGCCCAGCACAGTGGGTACCCACCGCAGATTCAAATTAGACCTCGCCATCCCTGGGGGGCTGCGATCTGTGAAACTGTCGCCACTTTCGATGCCTGCTGGGGGGCCCAGCACAGTGACCCACTGCAGATTCAAATTAGACATCGCCATCCCTGGGGGGCTGCGATCTGTGAAACTGTCGCCACTTTCGAGGCCTGCTGGGGGGCCCAGCACAGTGGGTACCCACCGCAGATTCAAATTAGACCTCGCCATCCCTGGGGGGCTGCGATCTGTGAAACTGTCGCCACTTTCGAGGCCTGCTGGGGGGCCCAGCACAGTGACCCACGGGCGGACCCAAATTAGACCTCGCCATCCCTGGGGGGCTGCGATCTGTGAAACTGTCGCCACTTTCGAGGCCTGCTGGGGGGCCCAGCACAGTGGGTACCCACCGCGACCAAATTAGACCTCGCCATCCCTGGGGGGCTGCGATCTGTGAAACTGTCGCCACTTTCGAGGCCTGCTGGGGGGCCCAGCACAGTGGGTACCCACCGCAGATTCAAATTAGACCTCGCCATCCCTGGGGGGCTGCGATCTGTGAAACTGTCGCCACTTTCGAGGCCTGCTTGCGGGGCCCAGCACAGTGGGTACCCACACGCAGATTCAAATTAGACCTCGCCATCCCTGGGGGACTGCGATCTGTGAAACTGTCGCCACTTTCGAGGCCTGCTGGGGGGCCCAGCACAGTGACGCCACACGCAGATTCAAATTAGACCTCGCCATCCCTGGGGGGCTGCGATCTGTAAAACTGTCGCCACTTTCGAGGCCTGCTTGCGAAGCCCAGCACAGTGAAGCCTCCCAAGTAGCTTACACATCGAGTTGATTGTCCATACAAGTTTTGGCCAACTCCTCGTGTCCATTGATGCAAATGGGTTGGGTACGTCACAGGGTAATTATTAGTAGTGTAAAGAAACATCTGCAAGGGCTTCATGGATGGAGAGCAGTTTCTTTTGAAAACGGCCCGATTGCCAAACGCTCGCGCACGCTAGCGCACTCTAGAGACGGAGTCCCGAGGACACACAGGACTCCCATGATTTGCTACCGAAGGATCTCTCTCTTTTTGTCCATGTTGGAGGCCTGGAAATTGGCACCAACACCAACACAGGGGGGTGCCTCCACAGGGGGAATATGATCCTCGATTTCGGTGTTGGTGGTAATATTTCGGCGACCTTGGAAGCCATAATATTACCACCATCACCGAGATCGGGATCTTCTTCGCTCGATGGAAGCACACCGCCGATATTGGTGTTGGCGTCAACCTCTAGGCCTGAGATCATGGCCCCCCTTTGCGCGCGCTCAGAGCCGCCGCTGGCGCTGCCCAAGCCGCCAGCCACGAGTCGCGCGATCGGCGCTGCCACCCGGGCCAGCTCAGAGAGGCCTCCACTGTAGTTGAGAAGCGCCGCTGGCCACTTGTGCGCCGGCCGGCACGCTTGCCGGCCCCTCCCCGCGACAAGCCGAAAAAGCCGCTCAGCCCCCAAGAGGCCACCAGGAGGCCCCCAAGAGACCGCCAACAGCAAGAGGCCACCACACCACGTTCCAAGGATTAACTAACTACTGAGGAATCGGCAGAAAGGCGATCTGGCAAGAGCCTGGATGGTCAAGCACTCCGCCACCGCTTTTCGCTCGAACCCCCTATCAACGAGAACATCACAACCAATGATGCGTCTCTGGCAAACTTTCCCTTTTCTTCTGGCATCACCAGCTCAGAAAAAAAACAACAGATCGATCGGAGATCCGAGCAGTCGCGAGACACCTCGACAAAACTACACTAAATCACGAGCTCGATGCATCACGTCCGGAGCGATCAAAAACCTGTCGATGGAGCACTTTGGCTACCCTTCCACGACCCCCCTTCAGCACATCTGAATACAATCTTCTGGCTTAGTTAAGAGACAAACAATGCGCGGCTTTGGAGTGGGGGGTCTAGCCGGCTTTTTCGCGAAGTCCTCTTCCCCCTACAATCGGCGACCCTGCAGCAGCGCACGGGGCACCAATCAATCGTCCTTTGTCACGGCGTCCTTTCTGTTAACAGCCGCTTTCTTCTTCTTTCCAGCCTCACTTCTGTTCAGTGCAGCTTTTTTCTTGGCCAACAGCTCCGAGATACCCGAGTCGTCTTCACCGACGTCCTCCTCCCCTGGTAGCACGATCTCGTCGTCGCTAGGCAACGCCATCACGTTCCTGTGCAAGCGGGGCGCCCTGCTGCTTCTGTCCGCGACGCTGTCACTCGAACCTGTACTCCGATACTGCAGGTACAATACAACAACTGGTGTACGTGCGATGCAGCATTGACACCAGGGACAATGCCCCCTGCGATCCCGCAAGTACTTTGCCCACCCAGCAGCGCGCAGCACAGATAAGAGTGAGTGGGTCGTATTATTTTTAGGTATTAATAAAAGAAACAAGCATACACATAAACTTTAAGCGCTCCGCGCGGATTTCTTGGATCTGCGCTGGACCCCCCTCCCCAGCGCGCGGAGCACGCCAGGGGCGACGCCAGAGGCGCCGCCGGGGGGGTCCGGCGCGGATCCAAGAAATCCGCGCCGAGCGCCAATAGTTGATGTTTATGGCGATTTGGCTCCTTCGAATCTATACATGCGAACATGGTATGACGATTACTGCACCTGCGTGGGCTCGCAACGCTTTCGGCCCCAAAAGACATCACCCCACCCGCAGACACTATGGACGAGGCCCAATACGATAAGGCACTGAGTGCGGCACGGCACGGCACCTCCTTCCAGTCACGAATTTGGCCTACAGTGGAGACCCATGCCCAAGACATACCCTGCTTGCCTCCAGGGTGCCCTGGGTTTATTCAGGTTTCGAGGGCTTTGCGATGGAGAGCGCGATGTCCCCGCGCCACAAATCAATGGACGTCCTGGGGTCTCAGGGTTAGGCTTCTGGTGGAAGGCTTCTTGTGGTCGAGCCCCTGATGCACGACACGTTCACTATTGGGGACGCCATGAGTTGTTCCGCAGGCTGCGGCATAGCCTTCGAGCGCATGGCGGTTTGGTGCGCTCGGCCCTGCGACTATACCTGGCGGCGCGCACAAGCACGACGGGATGGAGGGTAGGAAGCCGTCCCCCTTCCCCCTTTCCCCCCTTGCGCGTGGCTGGGCTGCATTGCACACGCCCGATGTTGCGCATGACGGTTTGGTCCGCATGACGACTGCGCCACACGTCGCGCACGCCCGCTCGACTCACCACTGGGACCCCTCGGTCTGGGCTGCGCCGCAGGCTGCGCACGGCACGCGACCGACGAGGCAAGGGGTGGGGGGGGGGCGCGGCGCGCTCCGCTGCAACGCGGGCCTCCTCCTCCTCCGCCTCCGCCTCCGCCTCCTCCTCGCTCCTCCTCGCTCCTGCCAGGACGCGGCGGAGCAAACTCGGGGGGCGTGGCGCGGAAGCAGGACCTGGCGAGCTTATGTGCAAGTACAGCCGAAGGGTAGGTAGCACAGAGCGCGGCCCCTAGGGAATCACGAGCTGGTCACATCTGTCACCCTTCCTCTGCTCCAGATCCTTCACCGTGCCTGGAGCACGTGGTGGGAGGCCCCACACTTCATGGTGCAGGTTATTCGAAGGCCCTGGCCCCAGATCTCGGGAGCAACATCCCCCAGGGCGTGCCGCAGCAGCCTCTTGGGGCCCACGCGTGTGGCAACAAGCATGTGCTTGAAAACCACATTTCAGCCTCAGGGAGCGAGCTGCGCGAGGTGCGCAGGACGTGTTCCACCCAAGGCGCCTCCGAGAGAGTCTCATTAGACCCCCAGGACACGGCGGCGAAATGGGCCGCGGGTCGCTACATAGGTAGGCCCCTCCCTCCTCACAGACACAAAACTCATGCGAAAAGAAGCATTCGCTAAAACACAGTCTCCTTGTGTTTTTGCCTTTGAATGCTTGGATGCTAATGTACAATCCATTCCCACGGCCAGCAAGCCATGTGGCTTCACTCCCGCGGATTACCTCCCACAGCTCCAAAGCAGACCCCACGCTGGCCCCAAGACCGCCTTGACTAAAACCCTGGACAGCCCCTCAAATGCCCAAGACGAGACCACGGCGGCTGTCCTTAGACCCCCTCCCAGGCGGCCGCAAGACACTTCAACGCAGCCCCAAGATCCTCCCGAATGGCGCCGATGATCCCCAATACGACCAGACGACTCTCAACAGGTCCTCAGCATGCCCCAAGATACATACGAAGACACTTCGAGGAGCACTCTAGCAAACTCCCCGCTTGCCAAACACAGAAAACACTCTAATGTTCAAATGCTCGTGCGTGCCACTCTCGACTGCCACATTTAGCTTCCAATGAACCTCCAAACGGCTGCTACATCGCCCCAAACAACTTCTTAATGGTGCTCAATGCTTGCCAGTGGCTCCGGAAAGGTATTCCCAACACGGACCTAACAAAGGCCCCCCCATAGAAAGGCCACCAACAGAAATGTAATCCCACGACAACCTAAGACCGTTCCAAGACGGCTCCCAAACAACTCAATACTGGCCCACGACTCCCCACAATGTCCGCAAGAACCCCTAAGGAATACGCTCAACTGACTCCCACGCAACATCCAAGACGCTCCGAGACGGCTCAGAGAGATCCGAAATAAGCACACATGTAGCAATACAGAACGAACACGTACCTCTACATCAATGCCATTCTAGCCTTCTAGCCTCCTGGGACTCGAACCCACGCATCACCCTGCAAGATCATTTGTTATTCTCAACAATGAGCTGAGCTTCCATTTCATCTCAACCTGACGGCCTCGGCCAACTGCTACATTTACACACTTTGAACAATGACATGCGTGCGTGCTCGTTTCGCAACAAGGGCAAGTCCAGGTCCTGGACCAGATGAACCACACCAGCGAGACGACGCCGACGAGCCTCGAGGACAACATACTTACACTAACGTCTGCGCGCTCTCAACCTCCTGCTTCTACCAATCCAATCGCCCCCTTTCCTATTCGATTTCCCACCCAATGCTCCATGTCCTCCACTACTGTCCTTCCGCCTATGTATATATATATATATATACACATGTATATATTTCTGTCTCTGGTCCCGTGTCTGCACCAGCATGCCACCCCTTTTCCTCATAGTCCTCCTCCTTCGCTGCCCTCGGGCCACTCCACCCACTCTGAGCGTCTGGAGAGCACGTCAGGGATCAACAAACAGCGCCGCCGCCTCTCCAAATCACGGCATCGGTACTACACCCCAGACTTGGCGGGACTGAATCTCTACGCTCTTCGACCTTCTGGCACTGATTGCGTCTCACCTGGCACAGGCACGCACGATTCAGCCCACATGTACACTTTGCGAGAGCGACTATGGCTTTCTCCCTACTGCGCCACTTCTCCTCCCCCACCTCCCCTCGCCTCCCCCGCCCCCTTTTTTGGACGCCCGGGATGGGTACGAAAACATGAATACCATACCAAACAACCAGTGGTGTCCAAAAGTGACTCACCGGCCGCTGTTGGTCAGACGGCTTTCTGCCTCAAACGGATAACGTCCGTGGCGACACCGACAGCGAGTCCTGCTCCAAATGAGCGCGATCAGCTGTCGGTCTTCGTCACCGCTCTGGGGGGGGGGCCTGTGCCCAGCGGGAGCCGCACAACCGCTCAACGATGCGGTGTGTTCTGTGCCTGCTGCCGGGTGGGCCCTTTCTGTATTCTGTGCGCCTCGGTGCTGGCTCTGGCCTCAGCTGTTGGTGCACTGCGAAGCGCCTTCGGGCCAGCTCACCCGAGTCGGTTTTCCGCTCACACGGGTGCCTCCCTCCCCCCCTTCCCCCCTCCCCCCCTCCCCCCCCTCCCCTCCCCTCTCCCGCTCCTCCCCTCCCCTCCCCTCTCCTCCCGCCCCCCCCCCCCTCTCTTCTTCTCCCCCCCCCTCTCCTCCCCTCCCCCCCTTCCCGCGCCCACGCCCGCCGGAGCTCCTGCCCCGGGCCTGGGGTCGGTGGCAGAGGCGCGGAGATGGTCCTGCCCCGGAAGGGCAGACGCAAAAATGTCGGGCCACCGTGGGCGCGGCTGGGGGGGGTCCGCGGAGCTGGCGCGCGGGCGCCAGACCCACAGTTCGGGGGGCAGCGTTGGAGCAGGAGTTTGACTTGGATGGGGGTGGGCGGGGGAAATCCTGCCTCCCGCCCCCGTCCTTCCCCCTCTCCTCCTGTGCCTCCCGAGCGCGGGGCAGCGCGACGCCGCGCCGCTTGCGACGACGCAGTCGGCGACGGCGACGGCGACGGCGGCGGCAGCGACGGCGACGGGCATGGCGCCAGTGCCGCTCGACTTGGCGACGGAGCGCGCCGATCCTTCGCGGAAGCGGGGCCCCTCGCTAACACGCGCGCCTTGATCCGCGTCCGCGGTTGCTCGGAGGTGCCTGCCAGCGTCCGCCGCGAGGAAGAGGATGGATGGACGGGGCGTCATCGAAGAAGCCCTGGCGGCCGTGAGCACGCTGACACCCACCAGGGCCCTGGATGTCAAGAAAACAGCCCCTCGCCGCCGCGCGCGCGTGACCGCGGGCGTCGTGGCGACGAGGGCAGGGCCCCGAGAAAGCCCAAACAAGTATCGGTCGCGACCCTGGCCTGCCCCGCAGGCAAGCCAGGGGAACGGAAGCCACCCCCGCGGGGACGGACGGACGACCAGACGGACCCCAAAGGCCGCCCCCAGGGAGGGACATGGAAACGCGCACCAGCGCGAGCCCCAGCCGCCAAAATTTCGAGGCGGACCCAGCAAACAGAGCGAGGGCCCTCACCTCAGCGCGCGGAACAGCCACTCGCCGACCACGTCGTGCAAGTCGTGGAAAGCGCTCCGAGGCCATGAAGCTGGCCGCCAACTCGAGCTCGACGCCGTCGCGCTCCAGCACGGTGACCACGTCGCCCATATACACGCCCCTGTCGCTCCCCTTGTCCATGGACATCTGGGCCAGGAAAGCCTCCGTCGAACTCCGCCCTCTCCTGCAGCACGGCTATCTTGGGGTCGTTTTTGGTCTCCTCCATGTGGAACCGAGTGCTCACCAGGACAAGCTCGTCTACGACGCTGATGGTCGATTCCGTCTCCTCCACCTCGTCGGTGGTGGTCTTGCAGTGAGGGTCGCCCGTGAAGTCCTTCTTCGTGGTCCCCCCCATCTGCTCGGAACCGTTCTTGGTCTCCCCTTTTATGGAGCTGGGAGTTATCAAGGACCAGCACTTCGCCATCGCGCATGTCCGACACCAAGTCGTCCACCACCTTGTTGGCCTTGCAGTCTGGGTCGCACTTGATGTCCTCCTTGATCATCTCTCCCTCCGTCAGCGACACTGGCTTCAACGAGAGAGCCTTGTCGGCCAGCTCGCGCTCCACGAACTTACCCTCGGCGGCCTCCTTCGAGCAATCGCTGGCCTTCTCCGACTGCTCGTCCGCTGCGTCCATGAGCTCGGTCTTCTCCGACGAGTCCGCCTCCGCGGTCGACTTGGACTCGCAACCGCTCGTGGAGCCGTTCTTCACCGCCCCCGCCACGTCGCGCACGAAGATGCGCGCGTCCAGGTGCGCCCTGCAATTGCGTGCCTTGGTGGCGCGCCCGACCCTCCGGGCCAAGGCGACACCCTCCGGCCCCTGCTCCCGCAGCTGCTCCTGGACCAGGTCGACGTCCGCCTGGACGACCTCGAGGGCCGAGGCGCCCGCACCAGCGGCCTGTGCGGGGATGCCACAGGCCGCGCCACGCGCCACCGCCGCCAGCAGCGTCGCCTGCTGCTTAGGGGTGGCCCCGAACTCCATCGCTGCCATAGCCGCGCCGCCTGGGCCGCAGTCGAGGCAGCGAGCACATCGGTCGGCGCCATGCCGAGTCCCGCCTAGGGCGTGCCGCCGCCAGTCAAGCACCAAATGGCTCGAGCCAAAATGGCAACAGACGAGGAGGAGGAGGAGGAGGAGGAGGAGGAGGAGGAGGAGGAGGAGGAGGAGGAGGAAGAGCCCTCGGGGTCCCAGGGCACGACCTCGATGCGGTGGGCGTGGCTGTACTCTGGCGCTGGGCCCGCCTCCTCCTCTGAACTCGAGCTGGAGGCACGGGGTTTGGTGCTGGACGCTGCCAGGCCTCCCCCCGCCAGCGGCCTTCGTCACTGGGGGTGGGGGCGGCAAGAAAAAAAACAAGGGGGTAGCACACCGTAGTCAGTAGTAGCAGGCGTGCAGAACAAGGGGGGGAGGGAACGCTCCTCCTCCTCCTCCTCCTGCTCGAACCTCAACCCTCCCGCCCCCCCTCGTCGGGGAGCCACACGACGTACTCCGTCCAGTCGCTGGCCGTGCCCTCGAAGCCCTGCCCGATGCTCCAAATGCTCAACTGGGGCTGGACGCGCTTGATCCGCCAGGGCGCCACCAGGCGGCCCCAACATCGGGCCGATACATCGGAATCGGATCGGTGCGAACATCGAGTCGGCAAGAAACGGCTGCGCTATCGGACCGGTAAGCATGGAAAAACGCGAACCCAAACGGGGGCCGGACCCGCTTGATCCGCCGGGACGCCCCTCTCGCGGAGAGGGGCTTCGGCCCGCCGGGTCCGCCAGCTTGCCCGCCCGCGCGGGGCCAAGCGCTGCTAACAAAGCAGGAACACCACGCTCACAGAACTCAGCCCGACGCACCCAGGGGGGAAGCGGGAAGGGGCGGGCCTTCTCAGAAATTTCTGAACCTTCCCCGAAGACGCAGAGAACCTATCAAAAGCCGGCGGGCTTCTGAGAAGCCCCGCCGCCTTCTGAAAATGCCTGCTCCTTCTCACTTCCCCCTTGGGCTCGCCGCCGAGTTCGGTAAACGCCCAAGGCCGTTCGCTCCCTTGCTCCTCCTCCTCCTCTTCCTCCTCCTCCTCCTCCGCCTCCTCTGCCTCCTCCTCCTACTCCTCCGCCTCCTCCTCCTCCTCCGCCTCGTCCTCCTCCTCCTCTTCCGCCTCCCCCGCCAGGGGTCGGGGTGGTGTTTCCTCCCTCGGCACGCGGGGCCAAACGCTGGAAAACATGCGGCCGTACATGTCTGAATGTGGCCCAGGGACACACAACACACAACAGAACACCCACACACACACATATATATATATGCACAAAACAAACACTACCACAAAGACAAACACAAAGCCACAGACAAACACACAAACAACGACAAACACAAAGGTAATGACGATGACAAAAACAAACACACACAAACACAAACACACAAACAACACACACACACAACACACACACAACCACAACCACAACCACAACCACAGACACAGACACAAACACACAACACATAACACACACACACACCACACACACCCACACACACACACACACACCCAAACACACCCCCACCCGCACCCACACCCACGCCCACCCACCCACCAACCTGCCCACACACCCACAC